CGAGAGAGGAATCACAAACTATCTCGGAAAAGCGATCTCTGCTGGTAATGGCTGGTACGTGACGAACAATTGTGTAACTTCCCCGATGTCTGCATAATATACGCATTGGATGGTTTTTGGTGAGCAACAGAAGGAGGAATGAAGAAAAGCGCTATTTAATGCATAATGAACGTGCGTAGTCCACTGCTAAAAATGATAAAAAGGGGGAAGGAGTAAGAATGAGTCGGCGAAAGCAAGATGCTTTTTTATCGCACTTATTTGGTCCTTTTGTCCCCATTACATTCGTCATGCTGCGAAGGGGTATACGACTTATAACTAACTACCATTATCCCCCGTGTAAACCAAAACCACTGGCAATAGATCTGGGGATAAACGGCACCAGATCCGCGTTCCTTAGTAAGTGCGAAAGTACGTATACGTAATTGTACCGCGCACTCTCGGGTAACGGACTTGCACGAGAAGGTTATTTTTCACTGAGTATTTTTATTCACCCAATTTTATTTTTTACTCGCTTATTCTCGCTGAATGCTCGGGATATGCAGCAGGGATTCCTTAAAAATTCAGCTCAAGGTTTGCCGAACGGAGAGGAAAATTTCTTATTTCCAGCGAATTCAGGATGGAGAATTTTCGAAAATTTTCAGCGTGAGTAAAAAGAATTTTTCTATTATTTGAGAATACAATGTTAAAATACAGATTTTTTTTTGTGCTGGGAAAATCTAAAGAAAATACTTTGTTTTGGTTTCGATTTGAAATACGTTGACATCAATTTTAAAGCAACTCCTATAATATATGGATTTTTTTGGCGCCGAGACTTTTCATTGTCATGTTTAAGAATTGATATAAAAGACGGCAAGATTTGACGACACAAAAAGGCGTTTTTTATTGTCCATCGAAGATAAAGACACGAGCCATTTTCCTTTCTTCCTTTCAGTTCCATTTACGAATTTTATCCGTTGCACATTTTTATAACGATCTATTCGTCAAGGGTGGAATGAACTCGGAGGAAATGCATCACACGTGGGTTTTTGTAATTTAAGGAGGGAGCCATCTAGGTCACGAGTGCATTTTAAAGGAGCACAAGGGGCTGGGCTTTTTCTTATTGTCAACCCCTGTGCCGATTTTTCACTCACCTGTTTACCTGCCAGCTGTAACCGGAATTATTTGGATCGCCTGAATGCCAGAAGAATGATTCAAGGGAAGATGACAACCCCCAGATTGTATCGGCCATTGGTGGAGAAAAAATGCCGTCGTCTATCATCAATGATTGTGTCCATGACGTAATTGATCTCTGAGCTCTGTCAAACGTCCTGACCACATCTTTTCTGGGGAATTTTCGCGCAAAAATATTACAAGTCGAGGGCCATAGAGAACGAAGAGATATTTCCACTCATTCACCACTCGATACATATCCCAAAACCACTATCTCCCGGTGCCTTCCCCCTGTTTTGTTTTCGACTGTCCCTATTTTTTTTGCTTCTCTTCGAGGACTAGAAGGGACCGGACAATGTCACAACAATACATCTCTTTAGCGACGACACAATAAATCAAAATAAAGCCGAAGTAGGGGAGAAAACAGGTTGGACTGCACCACAGGAGTGGAAGGCTACATGGGACTTTGGGCTCTATCGTTTGTTATTGCATGATGTGTGTGTATGTGTGTGCAAGTAAATGTCCTGTTCCTGGGATGTATCGACAGGTGAGGTACGTTCCGGTTCCAAGTTCCTGTTGCGATTTTGAAGGATTCGTGGAGAAAATTATTGTCCGGAGAAAATTTTACGAAACATTTTTTCTTCATTGATCGCGTCAGGTAAATATTTGGGATTGAGAATTTCATGGTTATCCCGTGAATTTCAATTCTTTTGAGCGATGCAGGAAATTGTATGAGTCATTCCTGTCACAATTTCAACCCGGCGTGTGGAGAAAGTAAATAAAGGAAATGCGATGATGTTGGAGCTCTTGTGAGATTCTGTGGACGTGGAGTCGAAGTGTCTTTCTTTTTTCCCAGTCCATTTTTTGCTGTCATTACACTCTTCACTACCCCCCGGTTTTTCCATTTTCCTTTGATCCAGCTCAGGGGCGAATTCCTATAGTGCCCTAACCCGTGAATGAGGTGTATTGTTATGTATCCAATCTTTTACGCGTTATTTCTAACGTATTTGATACTATTGCTGCTGAAGTCGGTTTTTCGCATTTTTTTCCCATCGGAATTTCAATGAAAACGTTAGAGTGAAATTTTCTTTTCATCTCGAAATTTCCCATCAACATAAGCCTCAAAGTGAATAAAAATCGTGTCTTGGAAGCTTTAGTTTCAATTTCGGTAAGTCTCCAATTGAATTTGTCTTTGATCCGAGTCTCTTAAAAATCAGAGATCGGATGAGGGATAGAAAAAAAAGATCTGGGAATATTAGGATCACTCAGCATGATGAATTTCCCAATGATGGTGATGTCGTCAATTCTCTTGCAACATTGAAGCCACAAAATATTTCCCAATGGCATAACATTGTGGAGAAAAAAGTGGTAGTAACGGAGCGGAATATAAAAATGCTCCGCCGTGTTTGCGGAAACGCTCTAGTCGTTGAGTGCCCAGAATACGTAATGCCTTTCAACTAATCCACTTGTCAACTTTCAGGGTGCTTGCTACATACATTCGAGTGCCCATCGCACTCAGCATTATGTTTTTCTTTTCCTCCACCAAATGGAGGCTTTGCATTTTTTTCATATTCCCCTTTTCCCGTTGAAAACAAAAACTAAACCACGAGGGAACCATATGCACGTTTAATTATTCCAAAACCTCTTTTCTTCGTTTTTCTTCCCCCCCTTCAAATTTTCATTCCACCGCGCTTTGCATATTCCAACAACATCTGGGAAACATGAAAAGAGGAGGATAAAATGTCGACGCCCTCCCATTCCTCTTCATACTGTCGCTCTTGCTCCTGACATTGCTTCTATTTATCGTTGAAAGCCCCGTACCCGGTCATATTAATAGAATTCCCTGAAATCATGGGAAACGAATACAAATCGTTGGTTCTTTAGAAGCACCACTTTTCAAATTGCATCCCCCGAAACTCCACAAGCCCCAAAGAACCATTTTAATCATCTTCAACGTCCCCAATTACTTTCGAAAAACGTCAAATTTTCTGGGGTTGAGTTTAGCCATTTAGTTGCACATGTAAATACTACAAATGCGGAATATTATGCGGCAATATAGCTAAAAAAAATACAGCAATACCATTTTTTTCAAAATTACCTCCGTATTAATTTCCACATTTGTATTATCCCATCTTTGAGGACTCCGCATAATGAGTTACATGAAAGGTAGGAATGATGATCTTTTCAAGGGTCAAGATTTTTTCCTGTCTGCAAAAATGAGGAAGCAAATTGGAAAAAAAAACCAATAGTACTTTTTTATCGCCGCGTTATTTTTTAAATGGGGAACATATATATTTAGGCTGGCGAATGGTGTTGGCTGGGGTTCGGCGATCGGAGAGTTGAACTCGAGTGAACTGTGCCTCCGGGTACAAGAAGAGGAGGCGCGTGTGGGTGAGCGAGCCGAGCAGAATCGAGTTGAGGCGAATCGCCATCGGGTCAATGTCGCCACAGTAATTACCTCTGGTTCCTGTCTCACTCCGAGCCCCCAGGTATTCTCCACCTCCGGAGCAACTGTCACTGTCCATTTGTCCGATTTCAATAATGCTCTCCTCTCCCCATTTCGACTTCGATAGCTGACCCGCCTACAGAATGTTAACCGATCGTAAAACTGTCCTCTTGCGGTTAGACTCCGTGGCATCAGTTGCAGAAAGATCAGATGAAAAGAGGTGCCCTCTTTTTTTCGGGGGAATTAGTTCTCCTTCGATCTGTGGCGAAGAAATAGCCTACGGTTGAGAGGTATACGGGAAACTAGGGGAAGATCCCGGGTTACATGAGAGAGTAGAAGAAACTATGGCAGAGGAGGATCACTGCGGAATATCGTTGATGCTTGAGAAACGAGGTGCACGTAGCTGCATGGCTGACCGTGATTAGGATCACGGACAGGGCATCGACTATTTCCTTCTCTCCTCGTTCTCTTTATCGCCAAACTCTTTGCGCAGAGAAACGTTTTTTTTTACTAAACTAGCATTTGCAACACTGTGCTATGATCTTTCCTGTGATTATCATACACTGTTGAAAAATCGCACTTTAAATTTCTAGTTGAAAAACCCAAAATGTTTGACAATGCGTCATTGGTGAATCATTTGACTTCTTGAATATTCTGGCAATTCGCAATTATCACTCTGAAAAATGTTTTCGAGAAATAGAATCTATAACAGTATATTCAATATAGTCTCTAAATATCGTATGGAGTTAAAAAAATGTTCGATGAATAATTCTTTACAACTAATTTTCTACATATATTGGCACTTAAAAAAAAAACGCTTGGCTTATGTAAATGATTTTTTAAACAATCGCTACAATATGTATATATGGAAAAATATTTTAAAAATTCGTTATTGAGAAATGACTGATGTAATGATAAAAATGATCTCTACGAATGAGGGTCTTGCGATAGTTTCGGTTGAATTTTCAGTGGATCAGGTAAGACTTTGACGCGAGAATATTAATGTCGAGACGCTATAATGCTTGAAGTATTGGAGCTTGAAACATTGGAGAATAATTTAGCATGGGAACTTTGGGCGGTAGGTAAACCTGGGGTGGTATGTAAACCAGTGGGCTGTTGGTTGAAGTTACCCAGTGGGAGGCTACCGAGATGAGAGAAGTGAATTGGGTGTACAAAATGTATTATATGGTTACTTTGGATCTACTTCGTGTTGGGCTTGGTGGCACACGATAACATGGTTTCCGGCAACACTAACGGGCTACGTTTGCGGTTAATAAGGCATCACCCTTAGTTTCCACATCTTCAGCTAGTTTCGGTTTTTTCGGGGATGTAAATTATTTTTGAGATTCACAATTTAAAATATTTGTTGGAAATGGGATAGTTGAATTAATTACAACCCAGTCAATAAACACTAATCACTTTTTCTTTATTAAAATCGCACGAGGCAGAATACCGTCTGAACTCTATCAATATTTCCAAGAGACTAAATACTAGCCACAAAGACCATAAGAACATTCGTCATTAAAGGAAGAACTCTCCAATGGTTTCTTGTGAAACCATTGTTTATGTTTATACAAACTCTGAGGCGACTCCGTGGAGCTCTCCATATCGATTCATTTTTGTAATCATCATAAATCAGTTCAATATATTTCTATGAATTTTAACTTGATATTCTAACAATATTAATAATATTTTATAGAATACCATTTTTCATGCACAATATTTTGCCGATTAATATTCACGGGTATTACCAATAGTGCAAGCAACTGCTTATTAGTGGAAGTAATCAATAGGATGAAAGCCTGAATGTCCGGAAGAAAGGCTGGCAACGAACCGCTCCAATTACTCCCCAGATTTTCATCCATAAAAGTAATTCGAGCCAACATTTTGATTGACATAATGAAACGTCAGGACCCTCACAATGACAGTAATCTTCAATCTTCATTCGTTAAAGCCGCCATTGACGAGAAAGAGGATTGATGCTCCAAAGAATTCCAGAGAACAAGAAGTACTACACTCATCTTTGCCTTGACTTGTTACTTTTTCAAGGTACTCTTCACATAAAGATGACTCGGTAAAGGTACTTGGCAATTGTAAGCGTACAACCTTCGAAGTGAGAATCATCATTGCACACAGAAATGGTTGGACTGCGAGAGCATCTCAGAGTCCATACGGATATACAAGCATATGCTGACCATAAGGAAGAGAAGAGATTCTCTATTACGCAGGTGGTGTGTGTTAAATTATGATAGTCGAGTCCATCAACGCTCCTACCCCTTATAACTCATTACGACACCCAGATACGCCATTGCAATCAAATTACCCGGAATCGTTTTTCTCATCGTGATTTTAGTCATTTTTCACTCATATTTGAATGAATTCTAATGGCCAAATGCATGTTACTATGGAAACGGGAGCCAATTATTTTATAAATATTTTTCCATGAGGCACGTTCATGTTACGTAGCTGCTACTCAACCTGATTCACCTGTAGCTGTGTAGAAGATTTACTGCTCACTAAATACACTGCTTAATCATTAGCGAAATGATTCCTTATTTTTTCAATTAACTCTGTAACCCTGGAGTTGGTGCCGTTTTTGTAGTGCACGTACGTCATCAACTCTTTAGGATGATGAATCAAGCTCCTGTAATTTAATACTTATGCTCTGTGAAATATTAGCGGATGAAGGACAATCTGCGGATGTCTTATCGCGGTGGGCTTATCTATTTTTGAGGTGATAAGATTAATGCTGGATTACATGTTGGATCGTTTCGCTGCGATTGAGCGGAAATAAGAGAATTAAATTATTGCTGACAATAGTTATTCAGAGCTGTGGGAGTTATGAGTCTACCGGTGCAGTATCATAGCTGGTGATGGGAGTTGGCTTCGTAATGGTGGACAGGACCTGAAACAAAATAACGTTTGACTAATTTATTGTATGTTTTTCTCGAACCACATGCCGCCCTGCACTGATTTTTATGGCTTACAAGTTTTTCATTGTTTTCAATCAATTGGGACTTGTTTCGTTTTATGGGGCGATCTTCTCGATTCTGTGGGTCTTACCTGGAGGAGGAAGTTGATATGGTGGCCCATATTGTGGTGGTCGAGGTGGTCCCGGAGCAGCAAGAGGTGGTAGACCATAATGTGGTGGTCCATGGTGGTGTGGTCCATGATAATGTGGCCCATGATGATGTAGTCCATGGTAGTGTGGTGCATGGTGAGGTCCATGATGATGTGGTCCATGATAATGTGGCCCATGATGATGTAGTCCATGGTAATGTGGTGCATGGTGAGGTCCATGATGATGTGGTCCATGATGATGTGGTCCATGATGATGTGGTCCATGATGATGCGATCCATGATGATGGACATGACCCGGACTACTATTACCTGGTGGCGTCATCCCAGGAGATATCACATCAATGACAATTCACAAGCGTTCCCCCAAACACAACCCAAACACATGAATTAATATCAGAGTTAAATTTGCGTTAACCAGAACAATCGCACAGCTGAGAATCACAACTTCGCGACACAAATGGATATTATATACTCTAGAGTCCAGACATATCTTATCATCATCCGTATCGGAGAAATCTCAAGGGTATCCACCGTAGGCGTACGCAGTAGGATTACCGTTGATGATTAAACTCTAGTGGACATATTTTACTGTTCCTCTCTTCATCAGCTGTACCACATTACTTACTCCCGTAAGGGATTGCCCCAGGAGAATGAGACAGCTCCAAACGTGCTGAGGGATTTCGATCGCAGTGTTATCTCAGTACCTGGTCACAGTGCATCCACAGAATTGTAGTACGTGTGTCACGTTTCGACAACGGAACACGAACCAACTGCTCAGTTATCCACTGAGTTATTCTCATATGTTCGTTCAAAATTCCCCCTTAACCCATGCATGGGCCACGAATTACAAAGTCTTTTATTCCCTCAGCCTCTTCATCTTCAGCATAAAACGAAATCATGAAATTACTTCCTCGTAATAACGCAAATGGGAGCGTGGAACGAGAGAGGAAAAATGAGAAAAAGATGAACGCTCCGAGATAATATTTATACTATTATCTCAAATGAGGGTCTCCGACGTGAATGCGCAGTCGACGATATCATTTCGAGTCAACATATCATTTTTTCATTATAATAGAGAATATCCTATCAAAAATTATACTGTTAGAAAATTTCTTGAAATCATCGGTAGCATTATTGTGAAAATTCAACACGACGTAAGATTGGATTGTCAATAAATTGAAAATTGAGAATTACCAGGATATTTAAGGAATTAAATGATTCGTCAAATTCAGAATTGTTGAAAATATCAAGTGTTATTTTTGAACCATCTAGCTGATCTATGAATAATTTTTCTATACGACTTCTGATGACTTACATCTCCGTCAATTAAAAACAAATAAATAATCACGTACAAACGGCCGTCACCAACAGCACACTCGGAACATTTATCAAAATCCAATTGTCTCTTATTTCAACATGAATCACCGAATGATTCACAACTGTCGCATTAACATTGTCACGTTTTTTTCAACTCCTTATAAATGTTAAAAGACCTTTGAAGTAAATAACGCTTACGCCAGTATTGTCCGAAGGATAAAAACCGAACTGATATCAACTTCCTGCATGATACTTCACCTGTTGCTAATCACCCGCTGCCTTATTATCGCAACTCCTCTCCATTTCACACGGGATGAGTAACGCTGACGCTGTCATTCGCCTTGTGCATTACGATTAGGCAGAACTCCGATAAAACTCAACGAAGGCGAATGAATTAATGAGGAAAGAACAACGTGCAAAGTTTGCTACTGAATTTTATAAACTATTGACGCATAATTCGATCCTCGGCGTGTAATAACCAACTATATCACATCTGCCACGTACATTGCAGTAAGATAAGGTCGAAAAGGAAGAGACGAGACCCTCAGGCGATTCTCCAGAGGATGAAGTTTCGCATCCATCGGTCTGGACGTTCGCTACACTTGACTTGAGTTATCCCCTCACACTCCCATAAGAGTTCCACTGAGGGGGCGACGGGGGTGAAAGGGGATAGAAAGGGGAGGGGGCTGGGGCAAGGTCTTGATGGGATATTACCAAACTGGTGAATCAATTTGCATCGCCTTCGCACCGGTGTGTGCACGGGCTTCTTGCGGTATATTGATTGTTGGAAACAGCGTCAACAATTCAGAAACAAAGTTACTATTTACCCAGGGACTAATTTTGCTTTGCAGGATGGTCATGAAACGGGTGTTATGTTCATGCAGTGTAATACGTTGTGTTCATCCACGTACAATGTGATGGTTTGAATAAATTGAAGGTCTTTTCCGCTTTCTCTAGCTTTTTTTTCAATGACCAGTGTGAGCAAGCTTTAATGCTGGATCTCTAGTTGATTGATATGTTTTTTTTTAATTTCCCCCTTTTGTCGTAATTCTCATTCGTTGTGACTCTAGGTTAGTGCCGTTAGGGGGGCTGCACACTTGTCTTGACCACCAGAATGGAAGTTCTTTGGGGAGGAAAATATTTTTGTGGGCAATCCTTGTTAGTTGACCGTAAAGACACCCACCGATTAATCTTCTCCGTGTGCAATATTTAAATTGAAATTGAATGTATGGAGACGTCGATAGAATTGTAATGAGCTCGCTCTGGCTTCTGATGGCGTTTGATCTATTTAATCAGACTGGAATAAGGATAAGCCCAGATATCAATTGGCGATTATTGCCAGTTGTTGGCACTCATCACTGTAATCTATCACATCTTATTTGAACTATTCCGGGTGGGAGGGGGCCGGGGAGAGAGGAACATATGCTGTTACCCCCTAGAGTGCTCCATCTTTGTCAAGATAGCATCTTGGGCTGTCATATCTCGTGTCCTGTTGATTATTTAACGTTTGAATCTGATTTTTTGTTGGTAAAAATGACATTTTCGAGGAATCGGTTAATTAATTTTAGTTAATTGAAAGAGGCATTTTCTGTGATGTTTCACATGTGTTGATCTGCAATTGTGATTCACTCTCCTTATCGGATTGCCGATATCTAATTAAACCCCATTTGATCACTGGGACTAGCAGCAGGTGCTTATTATGCGATTTCCTATACAGTCGGCGATGATATCACGGATACATTGGTATCTAGTTCTATTGCCTCCGATGATCGGGGGCAGTGGATTATTTGATCAGGACCGAATTAGAAAAAAAGTCCGTCGACGTCTGTTGATTTTTGTTCTAAAAATCAAAGACTGAAAGGGATTATTGAATACGGAAATCGGAGCTTTGACAATCCCCGTATGTCTCGAAGCGGATCAGAGTGATTCTGGCCTTCTCGCGCCAGCTGGAGATCTTCAAATCCCAATGACAGATCAATTGCATAACCCCAGTCTATCGAATTAATGACCGCCGCCCTAATAGATCCACACGTATTCCAGAGCTTCAAAGGAAAAAAAAGGCAATAAAAATAAACGATGAAATGAACACAGAGAAATAAACTTCTTGAGGGGAGGAAAACAATTATTGATGATTGAATAAAATCTATTGATCATTTCTCCGTTGACTTGTGATTCATTCTACTCTTAAAAAAATTTCTCGACATTCGATAAAATTATTTTTTTAGGAAACGCAGTTTATGAGATTACCAGAATTTTTTTAATGATACCAATTATTTTTTGCCGCAAGTAAACAAAAATCTCTATTCTTTGTCTAAAAATCTTACGCAATGGCCAATATGCGACGTGACCGTATTCGATATTTTCTTACAAATGACCATAATTCATATTTTTTATTAAATGTCATCATTGGGATGAGTCGAACAAAGACGCTGCGCAGTTGACGAAGTATAGGAGCTGACTAAGAGCATTCAGATTGGAAGAAAGACGATTCGAGAGGGGGCAAAGGGGGAGGAGAATAGACGAGATACGGAAAAGTCGATGAAAAAGGAAAATCGGAAAAACTCAGATCGCACTACGCCCCAACGACACATTGGCAGTGACCACAAAATGGCGCATTAAAATAATTCAATCGCCCTGGTTGATCTTGCACGTGCAACTTCGTTTTTAAACAGAATAGTGGGTGCAAAGTACGAGCTGCAATTACGGTGAGCCCATATCATATGAATCACCCGATGGAATCTTTTATTCCCTTCTCGCATTTTACCTCTTTTCATATCAGGGGCTGACAATTCTCGAAATGCCGCCATTCCTGATGGATGAAAATGCATCTGGTTAAAAAGTGAGTGCACGATTGAATTTATAAATGAATATTTTAGGTGTGACTTCTGGCTTGTACCGGAATCATTAGATTTACGGACAGATGACGTGAATAATATTAGCACTCTCCGCTGTCAATGTTTCATTATAATTCTAATTCAGTCAATGCTGCGGCGTATTATCTGATAATAACCATTAAACGTATGGCTATCAGTTAATTGCCGCAGCTATCAGAGTGAGGAGCGACAGGCCTGTCCGGTTCGGAATTGAAGACACGTGCGTCTTGTAATGATATATTTTTCCAACCTTGTAGAGTTAATAGGAGTTTGTAAGAATAAAAGAAATAAAAAGCTGGATTGAGCGTACATGACGGGTGGTAATATTTTTATAGCTTTCGTTTGCCCTTCGACATTTTTGCTGAGTGACAAAGTGATTGGAAAAAGTTAAAACTTGGGGATTAAATAGGGATTGGATAGAACGATATTGATAAAATCGCTCGGTTTCCACTTACCATCGTCGTTATTTATGATTATACGGATAGCATATTCCTGTCTGTCGTCACTGCACCTTGAAAATGGACTGACTCTAGTCTCAAAAATAGAGAGCTCTCCCGTATTTTTTACTACACCAGCATTTGGGACAAATTATGAAAAAATGGATTAGGCAAATAAAATCTATAACAATAAGTTAACTATCACGAAACTCCCTATACATTATTTTTTCTAAGCCTATTTTTAATTTGTATATTCATTTATGTTTATATATTTTTAAGTGAAAACTTTTTCAGTTAACAATAAAAAAAAAAAATTTTATGTACATGTTATAATTATTAGGAAAAATCGATTCCGAAAGCTAATCTATGCGACGAAAAACGTCGACACTTTTCATTGCATTTGGTTTTTTTTTAAGGGATATTTTTATCGGGTGGATTCTTAAAGAATCTATGGATTTTTACAAAAAATATAATGATGACAATATCGAATGACTCCGAATGAATAGCATTCCACTTGATAATCTATATTTCAGTCGATTTTGTAACACCCAGTGTACCACTTTTTTTTATTAGAAGCAAACTGAACAAGCATTGCATTGTTCGATTGGCCGAGCGAGTTGTCAAGAATTATCGTGAACTGTCAAAAGCCCCAACGAGCTTTATCAAAGTGTCTTCTATCTCGACTGAATGCGTATAACGACAGATAATGGTCTTCGAAAATAATGCACGCCAATACGGGGGGATTCTTCACCCGCTGTAGCCCCAGTGAAAACGTGTTGGCAATTTGTCTACGACAACTTCGCTATCAGACTTTCGCATAATATACGGGTCATTCCATCCATAGCGCAAGTCTAAAAAATCCAAGCACAACATATTACCGACAATCTCAACGCATAAATTAGAGGAGAGGAGAAAATTCATTCGCGTGGGAAATAAATCCGAGAAATTGTTTCACGATTTGTAGAAAAAACATCTCGGGCCCATTTTCCAGACGATTTTATCCTCGCGCCTACTAACGAGCCTTCAAAATAAATTGGTTGGATCCTAGCGGATGCCTTTTTGGTTGAGGCCGTGGTACGTGACGAAACTCTGAA